CCCCAAAACCCCAAAACCCCAAAACCCCGGGTTAGATCTATGACATTGAAATCTAATGGCTGAGTCAATAGCAAATGCTTCTTCTGAGTTTAACTTATTCCGAGCTTAAAATAAGTAAGTTTGATTTCTCTTAAGGCAGAAATGATTTACAAAGACTCTATCTCATTCGGGTCTGTCATAACCAAATATTCTCAAGAGTTGGGCGTCAATAGATCAGAGTATCATCTCCATTAACTAGTTCGAATGTCTTATTCTTAATAAGTAGATACATTCCTTGAACGAAGGGTATCTTTGCAGCACTCCTGGATGAATTCTTAGCCTTAAAAGCTTTCAATTCTGTGAAGTTATGAGTACTTTTTGAATGAGTACTCTGTATCTATCACATATATATCTTTATCAGGAAAAACTTGCTAAATTTGCTCTTATTCGTCCGAAATCCTTCAAGCTTCTGACACACAATCTTAGGTGTGCTAAATGATTGGTATTTCCCCAGGTCTCAATCATAATAGAAAATTATGCAGTCTTGTACAATTAAAGCAGGATTCTTCTTAAGGGATTCGATGATAAAATACATTCCTTCTTGGAATCAATTAAAGATAATCTCATGAATCTTTATTCTACCACTCAAAATTGGAATAATCAATTCCCAAGAGCTGACATTTGGAAACATTTTTGATAATTCTGAAAAGATTTTAGTAAAGCAATTTTCTAATTAATTTCTTCTTTTGGGGAAATTTTAGCAAGATTTCGGTACATTATAGGATAATTTACTCAGGAAGAATTTCTCAATAATTCTCTAGATATAATATGTTAGATAAAATTACCTAAATTTTCCAAAGATGTGAAATATGGGTAGTCTAAAATAACTGGCTTATTCTTTTGTTTCAATCATCCTTAAAATAAGCATCTTCATCTAGATGTTTATTTTTGAGGATTGTTAAGGTTCTAAACATATAGGTATACTTCACTATATCATCTGAACTCTGAGGAACAAAGCTATCCTTCCCATAGATTTGGATGCAGGAAGTATCAAGTGAGTAGTCTTGCAGGACATAAAAGGGAAAATTCAATATATCAAGGCTGACTCCTACTCTATACAAATAAAATCTTCCAACTTTGACTAATTCATCATAATTCTATTCAAACTCAACTCCTGGGGTTTTGGGGTTTTGGGGTTTTGGGGTTTTGGGG